ATCTATCTATCTATCTATCTATCTATCTATCTATCTATCTATCTATCTATCTATCTATCTATCATCTATCTATCATCCATCATCTGTCTATCTAATCAGATCCTCTTAAATTCTATCAGAACCCATAGGAATTCTTGTTTTAATATATTGTTTGAGCCATGTATCATTTAGTATGAATAAAAGCATACTAGAAATTGCATACCAGTCATAGGATTTTTTTCAGTTTCATTTTTATGTACTACTGTATAAAGTTAAATAGAAAGTTCTGCAGTGGTTGATAACTTTATTAACCTCTCTTTATAATATTTATCTTTTGTTCTGTAATGGGATGGAGTTTATACTTCAAGTGAGCAAAAATAAAATAAAATAAAAATCCCCCACAGATTTTGGATGCTTAGAAATAAAAATAAAAAGTTACTTACCAGTTCAACTCTGCCAAAACCTCCAACTCCAAGAGTGTCAATGATGTTGAAGTCAGACAGCTTCAGGTTGGCGAAGAAGGCAGCTTCGGCTTCGTATCTGGATTTTTTAATGTGAAAAAATGGAAATTTCTTAGAGGTGTAGACATGAGTGCTATGTAATTCTGTTCCAAAATGAAGTACGCGTTGACTGGAAGATACCACCTTAATTTCCATCTTTGTTTTCAAAAAGTCTTTGTTTTTTCCCCCATTGGTCCCAAATTCACATTCTAAATTTAGTGATTTCTCTCTCTCTTTTTTTCAGAACGAAAGAACCAAATGTCCGGACAGCACATCTGTAATGCGACCATTTTGTATTATAATTCAATTGGATTTATTGATTGAATTTCACATCTTGACAGCTTCTTTTAGTTTCTGGTGAAGATTTTTTTCGTTGCTTTTTTTTTTAGTATTTTGTGAAGATAAAAGTATTTTATATGAGTTTCTCTTCTGCACAAGCTGCCAGAATTTCTACAAATGTTTATTGAAAGTGGCAAGTTCATTAACGTCCCTGGACAAAAATCTCAGTCAGGTTTTATAAAATCAAATTCAATAAGCTGAGAAAATGGTATACGGCCCTCTGAAAGGAATTATTTCAGGCACACACTACGGTTTCGAAAAGAACATTTTCCTGTACCCTACTTCTTTAAACTTGTCCTTAAATCCCGAAGTGCTCCCTTTAGACTGTAGTTCTGAATAAAAATGTACACAGTACTAGCTATGCAAGTCATCTGAAACTGACACATGCACACATGTCAAAAATAAGCCTCCCATGGATATATCCCACAAATATGAATCTCTTAAAATAGTCTCTTGCTAGGGATTATGATATTTTTAGAAAGGCTATGAGAGTAAACCGAGGAGGACGTTCCCTCTACTCACTGAACTTTGATACAGGAAATATTTTGCTGAGGAGAGCGGGGAAGCAAACCACATGAACTATTTTTCAAATGTTACCTTTATTCTTCCGAACTGAGTGTTCCAAAATGCACATAGAAAGATAATGCCTTTTCATTTATTTTGAAACTGGCTATTCGTAAGATTAGCAGGTTAACCAAGGGGCACAATGAAGTGAAAATCAATGACAATTTTTTAGTTCTTGGTCTACAGACTCTTAGCTCCATTATTCCAAAATAATGTAGATGTGTTTTTCTATCATGCTCATGGGTAGGATTTTTTACAAAGTGCTTTGCTTTAAAAAAAGAAAGTGTTCATGTTTTATTTAAAAAACAGATTATAAACACAACTCTGCTGGGTCTCTCAAGGAGGTTGCCAGTTGTATGGGATGAATATAATTTGGGAATATAGTTTGGGAATATGGGATGAATATAGTTTGGGGATTCAAGTTCTTCTGTATTCAGCTTGAAAACTCAACACTCTTATTGTGAAGATTAATTTTCTACCCAGGAAAAATAATACCCCATATAAATTATCTACCTAGGTGCTCTGGTGGTAGGGTTAGAACTTTTTGAGGTAGGAAGAGATATCTATCTCTCAGTTTTAGAATAAATAAGGAGACCTTAAAGAAAGAACATTTTACAATACATGGGTAGAGAAAGAATATATACAACTGTGTGCAACTGGGGCCAATACATTTTTTTCTCCTGTTCCCCATTAAATTGGTGCCTGAGTGAGCAGGATCCTCCTTTTACCAGTCCACAATAGAAAGCACCCTCACATATTGCATTACGGTGTGGTATGCTGGCTTGACAGCCACGGACAGAAAGACCATTACCGAGGGTGGTGAGCACAGCACAAAACATCGTGGGCTGTTCCCTGATACCACTAGATGACATCACTAGGGCCCGCTGCCTTAGAAGAGTGAGAAATATTCTCAGGGACAACTCACATCCCGGTCAGCACTTCTTCACTCTCCTTCCATCGGGTAGGAGATATAGAAGCATAACCAGCCGCACCAACAGGCTGAAGAACAGTTTCTACCCGTGGGCTGACAGACTCCTGAACGGAAAATAACACAGACTTGCGGGGCCGATGTGTTGTGCAACAAGGTCACATAGTGTAATAAGATTGGGACTGGGTTAGGGACTTCTGTCCCCACTGTGAGTTGTGTTGGGGGGGAGTGTGCATGAAGGGAGGCTCAGCCAAACTCATTGTACACATGTACTCTGACAATAAAGGTAATAATAATGTCCCATCTCCACTTTACAAAATGGAGCTTCACAATGAATCGAATGTATAATTTCCTAACAGCAAAGAAAGAGACATTCCATAGAGCAATATACATTGAAGTCCTTGAAAATGGAATCCTTTGATTGTGAAATGACTTAAATGTCTGTCTTTAATAAAGAAGGATATATAGGATGATATAATGGCCTACAGAAGACAGATGCCTTCCAGGGAGGCATAAGAGTCAAAGAAGTCTATTTTAGGTGTCCCTTAGGGGTCAGGTTTCTGCTACTTCTTGTAGGTCAGCTTGTTTTAGAATCTTCTGGTGTGCAAATGGGTTGAGAGAGGTTCATTGTTCTGTGCTGTTAAATCTGAGAAAGAGGCTCAAGGTTTTGGTAATCAGAATGTTGATCAGCAAAGTTGACCTTTTTAGAAAATATTGGGATCTGATCCCTAGGAAAGTAATGCTGTTTTACTTCTTCCTCTGTTGTGACCTCTTGGGGTATCTGGTCTAGAAAATTCCAAGAGTGACATCATAGTAAACTGGATTTAATGTAGTATTCAATTCTCCTGCAATGGGCTTAGTAAGGATCTCAAGAGACACATTTAGCTACAACCTCACAAAGGTCTTTTGGGGGGGAAAAAACATAGAGAGCAAATTACAGTGAGTTTTCTGGCTCCAAGTCCCCTAAACAGCCACAATTAAATTAAATAACTAAAAGGCTAAGTAAAGGGGGGGGGGGGGGAGAGAAGAAATAAAGAAAAACAAACAAACAAAAAACAAAAAGACCCATTTCCAACCAAGTACAGAGAATAGTAGAGATGACCTTGGAGAAACTATGGAGAACTGTTAGCAAAACATGATTTCAGAACAGAAGAAAAGAAAGAAAAAGAAACCCCTACAACTGTTAATGACTGCATCAAGAGACTTACGGTGTTGAAATCATTAGAAGTTATACTTTTACCCTAAGCTGTACTGTCAAACAATATCTGGAATACTGTGTCCAGTTCTGATCACCACATTATAAGGAAACTAAGAAGGGCGAAGAACAGCAACAAAAATGATGAAAGGCTAAGTACATAAACCTTCTGAGCGATTGTGCATCTGTGTATCTGTAGCCTAAAGAACAGAAAGCTAAGACTGCAATCCGACCAAGAATAAGACAATAATTAATGAGTGGAAGTTACAAAGGGGGGTCCAAACTCAAATTTATGACTGTGAGACCTACTAAAGCAGTGAAACAGCCTGCCTCCTGGAGTTGAGAGTGCTTTAGCTCTGGAGGTTTTCAACCAATCAATGGACTCCCACTTGTTTGAGATGGTCAGGAATTCCTGCCCTCGACATGAAGTTGGAGTAGAATAGAAGTAAAGTAGAATAGAATAGAATAACAGAGTTGGAAGAGACCTTGGAGGTCTTTTAGTCCAACCCCCTGCTTAGGCAGGAAACCCTTCACCACTTCAGACAAATGGTTATCCAATCTCTTCTTAAAAATGTCCAGTGTTGGAGCATTTACAACTTCTGGAGGCAAGTTGTTCCACTGATTAATTGTTCTATCAGGAAATTTCTCCTTAATACTAAGTTGCTTCTCTTCTTAATTAGTTTCCATCCATTGCTTCTTGTCCTGCCCTCAGGTGCTTTGGAAAATAGCTTGACTCCCTCTTCTTTGTGGCAGCCCCTCAGATATTGGAACACTGCTATCATGTCACCCCCTAGTCCTTCTTTTCATCAGACTAGACATACCCATTCCAACAACCATTTTTATATGAAGAAGAACCATTCTTTATACGAAGAAGACCTCCAAAGAACCATTCAATCAGTGGTGGGATTCAATTTTTTTTTACTACCGGTTCTGTGGGTGTGGCTTGGTGGGCGTGGCAGGGGAAGGACACTGTAGAATTTCCAGTCAGAGGTGGTATTTGCCAGTTCTCTGAACTACTCAAAATTTCCACTACCGGTTCTCCAGAACTGGTCCGAACCTGCTGAATACCACCTCTGCATTCAATCCTAAAATTCTATAACTTGCAATTTCTATGTCTTTAGAATAGTTTGTATCTCAAAGGAAGAAATTGTTTTGGTTTATCCTGCATGGTCAAATCCCAGCTCAAGCACTGTATTCTATAACAACTACAGTTTTTTAAAAAATCAAACAAGATCGAACAGGTCCAGAAAAAGACAAGGATCACCAGGGGGTTAGAAACTAAACTCTACAAAGAGACAGCGGAGGCACTGAGAATGTTTAGCCTTAAGAAGGCTGAGATATAGAGGACATCTTCAAATATCTGAAAACACCTCACATAACCTTCAGGGGAGGTTTAGTTACATAAAGGCAAATTCTGATTGCATTGAGGGGAAAAAAACCCCTCCTAATATCAAGATTAGTTCTCAGTTACCCAGAGAAGTGGTGGTTTCCACATCCAGCTGCATGAATTCACACATTCATGCATCTGTTGTGGCTGTTTTGATTGTTTGTTCTTGCACTGAAAAGAGGGTTGGACTAGATAACCTAAAGGACCAGTATCAATTTTATGGCTTTGATGATTATGATTCCACTTGTTATTTCTTACCATCCGTGATACTGTGTTATTTCTAACTGTAGTGTCACAACTGTCACATTTATTTCCTATAATTACTAATCTGGTTTTGAGCTCTGTCATAGCCAATATTAGCTATCCCATCTCTATATTCTTTCTCCGACAGCCTTATCTTCAGGCTATTAATAGAAAAGGCCACAGGCTTAGTATTTGAGTGCAGAACTTTTTGTGTGCTCACACCCCCTCCACTCAAAGCAGGGGTGGGATGCTAACAGTTTTGCCCGACTCTATAGAAGCGGTAGATCTGAAGAGCAGCAGACACGGAACCAGTTCAGTGTCTGCTGCTGTTTTGGCCCACCCGCCCACCCGGGCTCTTACCTGTCCTTTATTTCCTGCTTTTTC